GCATGATTTTTGGGCATGATACTATAACCTAATCCTTAATGAGTGAACCCTAGGTCCTAATTATCTAAATCATAAACTATAAATCCTAAGATGATGCATTGATTTTTTTGCCTATATTTGGACGGATCATAACCGTCGATTATTGTTTCTAATTAAATTGATCTTGGGGTATAAGATTTAGAGAATTAAGACCTAGATTTTGATCTTTAAGGGTTAGAGTATAGTATCATGTCCGAAAGATCAGTCAATTCAAGTCCTAGATAGCGTTTTCTTACTCAAGGTATGCGGTACCCAGGATTTCACCCTGGGTACCATAGAACTCCCCAGGTGCCTTCTACGGTACCCCGGGTGAAATCCGGGGTATCGCATACCTTGGTATGAAAAAGCTATTTAGACCTCGAATAAGCATGATTTTTGGGCATGATACTATACCCTAATCCTTAATGAGTGAACCCTAGGTCCTAATTATCTAAATCATAAACTATAAATCCTAAGATGATGCATTGATTTTTTTGTCTATATTTGGACGAATCATATATATACATACAAGTGTTGCCATACTATTTTTGGTATCGTTTTTTAGCAACAGACATATCCTCCTCAATCATATATAAAAACCAATTGCAATCACAAGAACAAATCTTATATATGGATACATGTATTTGTTATGAATTTCAGTTCTTTATATATTGTATTTTTTGTTTACAGATGTTATGGCTATTGAGTTTCAGAAGAGGGGTCTTCCTCATGCTCATTTGTTAGTTTTCCTAGCTGCGGAATATAAACTAAGTGGTCCCAAGGAAATAGATTCTGTAATATCAACAGAGATACCTAATCGTGATCTAGATCCAGAAGGTTATCGAGCTGTAACTGCATTTATGTTGCATGGTCCATGTGGTGCTTTGGGCCGTAATGCTCCTTGCACTCAGGGGGGGGGGGGGGTACGAAACATTTCCCAAAGCAGTTTTGTGAGCAAACCACAATTGATGATAATGGTTTTGCGAAATATCGACGACGTGATACTGGGATATCTTTCAATATCCACTCTGTGGCTCTGGATAACCGTTTCGTTGTTCCGTATAATCGCTATTTATTATTGCGCTTCGATGCACATATTAATGTTGAATTCTGTAATAAATCGAGGTATGTGCTGAATGATTTGAATTTTCAGATGTGCTTCGTGTTGTTCTTTATGCTCTTATAATTTTGTTGGGTTATTTTGTATAAATTGCTAATCAATTATAAAAAAATCCTATGCATGATTTTTGTAGGTATACGTTTCAATATAACATAGTTTTATTTAAATTTTCTAATTAATAAAATTAGAATGCAGGCAATTATGTATTGACGATTGAGGAAAATTCACATTCATGTTTGATATGTGGTATTTCATTATTGTCTTTTGATTGCAGGGCAATCAAATATCTATTCAAATATATAAATAAACCACAAGATAGAGCCAAAGCATCATTAGTTGGAACTCAAAGTGCTACAGGTGGTGATTCGAGTGCTTCAAGTTCTGATCGTACTCCACGTATCGATGAGATCAAGTCATTTTTAGACTGTCGTTATATAACATCTGGTTAAGCATGTTGGAGGTTATTCAAGTTTGATGTCTACTCACAATATCCATCTGTATTACGTATGTCATATCATCTTCCGGGTCAAAACGTTGTTGTCTCAAAGCAAAACCAGAATCCTCAAGGGTTACTTCGATCTAAACGAGCTCAGACCTCTATGTTATTGAGCTGGATGAAAATGAATCAATCATCTCCAGGAGCAAGGCAGTACACTTTTGTAGAATTTCCCCAGTTCTATGTTTGGGATCAAACAAAACGAGAATGGCACAGAAGGAAGTCCAAATTCTCAATTGGTCGGTTATACTATTGTCATCCTTCACCAACAAATGACAAATTCTACCTGCGTATGCTCCTACACATTGTTCGTGGATCAGTTAGTTTTGAGGATATCAGGACCGTGAATGGAGTTATACATAAATCTTTCAAGGAGGCATGTTATGCTCATGGGTTATTGGCAGAAGATAATGAATGGAATGACTGTTTAGCTGAAGCATCTCTTTGGGCATCAGGTCAGAAGCTTAGAGATTTATTTGTCACTATAATAACCTTATGTCAAGTTTCAGATATTGGTAGATTATGGGAAAGAAATTGGACAATGTTGTCCGATGATATTTTGTACTCCCGTCGGAAGCAACTTAATATGCCTACATTGGAGATGATTGAGTCTCAGTTGAAAGAATGTTGCTTGCTTGAAATTGATAAATTGCTCTCCAGGAATTGCAAAACCATTTCAGACTTTCCAGGATTACCAGTTCCCAATTTTGATATGTTGCAATCTTCATCTAATAGATTGATCGCTGCAGAGCTTAACTATAATGCCATAGATCTTCGTTATAAATTTGATAGTATGATTTCCAAATTAAATGACCAACAAAGAGTAGCCTATGATGAAATTATGGCTTTAGTGTATGGTGACCAAGGAAAGTCATTTTTCATTAATGGTTGTGGTGGAACGGGAACGACCTTTTTGTGGCAGGTCATTTGTTTGAAATTGCGTTCAGAGCAGAAGGTGGTTTTATGTGTTGCTTCTTCTGGTATTGCAGCCCTTTTGATGGATGGTGGGAGAACATCTCATTCCTGATTTCATATTCCAGTTGATATTGATGCGCGATCAACCTGTCATATTGAACAGGGAGGTGAATTGGCAGAGTTAATCCAACGTGCTTCTTTGATTATTTGGGATGAAGTTGTCATTTCTCATAAACATGTGGTGGAAGCTGTGGATAAATCATTACGAGATATATTACGTTTCCGATATCAAAATAGTGATGAGAAACCATTTGGAGGTCTGACAATTGTTTTCGGAGGGGATTTCAGGCAAACCCTGCCTATAGTATTGAAAGGTACACGAGCTGATTATGTCAACTCATCTATTAAGAGGTCTTATTTGTGGCAGCATTTGAAGGTAATCAAATTGATTCAAAATATGAGGCTAGCATGTGGCAATAAATGTCCAGAAGAAATGCTAGCAATTGCTGATTTCCAGAATTGGCTTTTGCAAATTGGTGATGGGGTTGATTCAGATGTTTTTGGTGAGTCTACTATTTCTATTCCACATGAGTTATTAGTACCTCGCCAATCAGATCCTGTTACTGATATTGTGGGTTCAATTTATGGTGATCTTTTGAGTCATTATTCGGATCATAATTATTTGGTCAGGCGAGCTATTTTGGCACCACATCATGATATGGTTTCTTCAATCAATGAATTAATTTTAGCAAAATTTCCAGGAGATGAGGTCACATATTTTAGGTTAGATTCAATTGAAGTGGATCCTGGAAAGGAGGGTGTGGTAGATGCTGATTATACTACTGAGTTTCTGAATACATTGAAGGTTGGTAACTTTCCTGATTATGAAATGAAACTTAAAGTGGGATGTCCAGTAATTTTGATGCGGAATATGGATCAAACAGCTGGGCTCTGTAATGGTACCAGAATGATTGTTAAGACTTTGGGAAAACGGTTCATTGAGGTGGAGGTCTTGACCGGTACTAATGTAGGTGATCGTGTGTTTCTCCCTAGACTTACATTGTCAACATATTACAAAAGTCTTAATTTTACTCTCCTTAGAAGACAATATCCTATTGCTCTATGTTTTGGCATGACTATTAATAAAAGTCAGGGACAAACACTCGATCATGTTGGCTTATGTCTCCAGAGGCAGGTTTTCAGTCATGGCCAACTCTATGTTGCATTGTCCAGAGTTACAACAAGGCAAGGTCTCAAAATCTTGATTGAGAATGATAATGATGAAGACCCGAACTCGATGCTAAACATAGTATTCCCAGAAATTTTTTATTGAACTTACAAGTTGCAGTGTGGTTTGCGTGATCAGACATGGGATTAATTTGCTATATTTATTCCTTTGTAATACAACTTTGCTTCTCTTTGGCTGTAAATGTCAAACTTGCTTCTTGTTTATTTAAGCAACGCTACCCATGTCTACTGTTTAAAATAGTAGTAGTGATCTTTATGTTTTATTAACAGATTATTATTCCCATGGAGAACAAATGGATCATCTGGTGCATTTGTTTGGTATTAATTTATTTGGAAGTGAGAACAGTGGAGTCTTATTCCAATTTAGTGTCATTAGTTCTAATTAGGATCTATTTTGATTTACATTTGATATTTACTATTGTTCGGCTAGGGCTTTTATTTGATCACAATCTGATATAGAAATGGGCTTCTATTTTGTTGCCATTCCCAATTTGAAGATTAGTCACCTCTGGCCCATATTGAAAGCCCACACAAATTTCAAGGGCCAGAAACATGGAATACAATTAACTGGCGGTGAAGCCATAGGGAACCTTAGCTCCATTTTTGTATTTGCGGTAGATTCCACTTTGCTTGGTGCCCCTGGTGAAATCACCTTCCTCTTTCCATCTCCAACCAAATTCCAATCTTATTTGCACCATTCTATTAATCAGTTTACCAATCTCGCCCAAATACATATAAAGTTTAGCGCTGAGGTGAAGATGATTTGCTCTCAGCTGGAACCGGGTCTGAAATTGGGAATTCCAGGAGTCAGAATTAGCTGCATAGGAGAGACCAAGTTAGAAGAGACTCTCAAATTTTGTGAGTTATATTTACAAAATGAAGGTCACAGTTGCCCAGAGTTATAGTTATCTCTATCCAGCAATAATCTTCTGCGGGAATCGTCTGAGTGTGTGCATCTTCCCCCCATTCCGAAAATGTAGCTCTGCGTGGCCGACGTGGCTTTTTCAAAGTTGAAGTAACTGCTACTGTCTTCGGGATATATATATATATATGAGCTTCGAGACAGCAGTTGACAATTTTTGGTGCTCATTTGTTTTTCTCTCAGGTATCAATTCGCGTTCAATTTTTGTAACTATATCTACTTATTTGCTGCAATCCCGTAGCTCTTCACTAACCTCCTTTTTTTGTTGCTGAGTCTGTAGAATGGATTCCCAGAGTATTCGCGACCTCGAGTCGGAGAAGAAGATTTGGTCAGGTCAATGTCGTGTCTATAGAATGTGAAGTTTCTATAGAGACAAAGTTCTCCATTTGGACCTCATTCTGATGGATTCAAAGGTAATCACATCTTTCATGGCATATGAAGTTTCTGTTCGAAAATGAGTACTGTTTTTTAAAATTTAGTTTTCGTTTTCATTTTGAAGGGCAATGATATCTGGGTACAAATCCCTCCTATGTTGATAGAAAAGTTTAAGAAGTTGCTGAAGGAGAACCATGTTTACATTATCAAGAACTTTGATATCAATACAACTGGACTGAAATATCGACCTATTGGGAATCCATATTTGATACAATTTAGTAGGAAGACAACTGTTCATCATGTTCCTGAAGTTCCTGCAATTCCGACCTTCAAATTCAGTTTCCTAAATGCAAGTCAGATGGCAGGCAAATTGGGTCATGTTGTTATCCTTTCAGGTTACTTCTTCATTCTTACATGTATTTTCAGTTAGCAAATAATGTGTATCTGATTTTATTTTATTAAATGATTTGTTGTAGATGTTGTTGGCCAATTGTGCACACATTCACATGCAATTACTACTACCAGCCTTACCCGGAAAACTATAAGGAAGGAGCTCACATTGCAACTGATTGAGTGGGTTTCTTTGATATCTTTGACATGAAAGACATTTAGAAAACTTTTGTTGAATTTGATTGCTCACTATCTGGTTGGTTTTTCTTTTATTTGTTGAGGGAGCATTATTGCAATTCCGCCATTCATGTTTGTTTGCAAGATCAGTTTTTGAAACATCTTAGATATTTATTTCAAATTCATGTAGGGGTGATGTTGTCAAAGTGGTTAACCGCAAACCATTTAAAAGGGATTTTATTCGGTAACAGTTAATGGAATTGGCCCTTTTGCGGTTTGCGGACTAACCGCACACCGCACCGAACAAATAACCCTACCGAATAACTAACCGCATAAAAGGAATACCCAGCCCAAGCCCAAGTGCCCAACCCATCCTAAAAGCCCAAACAGCCCAAGCCCAAGTGCCCAACCCATCCACTCTACAGCCCAAAGCCCCAAATGGCCAAACCCAAAGAGGAAGAGCAAAATCAAGCACGGGCAGCCTAGCTAGGGTTCCATTCCAATTACCAATTTCCAAAATTGGCCGCCTCTGCCCTCTACTCTACAGTTCAGTTCCCTTTCTTCGTTGGCGTCCGCGTCTTGGCGAAGAGGAAGAACAGCTGGCATCGACGCAGCGAGCAGCGGCCAGCGAGGCAGCCGAGCAACCGTCGAGCGGCGTTGCCGAGCAACCGTCGAGTCTCGATCCATCGGCGGCGTTCACGAGCAGCTGAGCAACCGTCGAGCAGCAGCGCAACGAGTCCCGAGCAGCCACTCACGTCGCGGCGTTCACGGGCGGTGTCCCCTTCCATCAACCGTCGAAAGCAGAAAAAGCAAAGGACGCGCGACCGGCGACCACCATGTAAGTCCCCTGTTTTCTACTTTTCTTTGTTTTAGTTCTGCTGTTCTTTGTTTGTTATTATACTGGTTTCGTACTTGCCTTTTGCCTTGCCTTGCCTACCTCATTAATTTTGTATATGAGATTTCCTGTCCGTCTGAGTATCTGACTGTACCGAATCAATATTTGGATAAAATCGAATTTGATTGAATGTATTTTGATTCATTTTCAATCTTACAAGTTATCTCAAGTATGAACTATGAGAATTTGGATGAGTTGGAAGATCTTGACAGTGGTAAGTTTTGTTTTGGTTGTGTGGTGCATTATTGTTATTGAATACTATATTTTCTAGCCTCTTATTCCATTTTTGTGTGTGTTTTAGCTTTTCAAACTGTTGTATTAGATGCCAATACAACTTCTGCTACAACTAGAGCTGGAAGTGCTGCTGCCGGAGCTGGAAATGCTGCTGCTGGAGCTGGAAATGCTGCTGCCAGAGCTAGAACAGCTGTTGCGGGAGCTGGGAATGCTGATACAGGGGCTGGAACAGCTGCTGTCGGAGTTGGAAGTGCTACTGCTACCAGAGTGCGAGCTTCTTCTTCGATTGCGCCTAGTGATGGAGAAGATTCTAGTGATGGAGAAAGGCAAACCGAGGATGCGAGTGCTTCTGAGGACGAGGATAGTGAGGAGACTACGAGTGCATGAATGATTGAGGAATTGAAGACATGGGAGTTGGGAATTAGACTATCGTAGTATGGCTTGAACTTTAAGTTTATGAGTTTATGTGTTGAAACTTTCTGTGGGATGTTTAGAACTTAAGTTGTATGCTTTTTTGGGATTGTTAGAACTTAATGTGGATGGTTTCTTTGGGATGTCTAGAACTTATATATGTTTCAGACTTTTTTTCCTTTTCCAGGTGCAATTTACCTGTTTCCCACCCCTAATTTCTCAAGTGCATGTTGCTGGATTTTACAGGTTAATTCGGTTTTTTCATGCGGTTTTGTTCCATTTTGCGGTTTTTTGCACCGTTTAACTCTTATCGCGGTGTGCGGTTTGAAGTGCAGTTAACCGCAACTAATCGCAAACCGCAATTTGCGGTTAGTGGTTAACCGCAAACCGTTTGCAATGCGGTAACGGTGGGTGGTTTTCCCCTTGTGCGGTGGCGGTTAACCGCGCTTATTCGGTGCAGTTAACCGCAACCGCACCGTTTCCCACCCCTAGGTGACCTTATTATTTCTTCCCTATCTTACGCTTAATAATGTTATGAGTGGCAAGACCAGCCTGATTTTTGGTTTTTGTAGATGAGTTATCATTTTCATCATTAGGGTCAACAGTTGTGTATCGTAACCTCGATATTCCAGCTGTCAAAGCTTTTGCTACCGGGTATTCATCACCCTACTGTGTCTATGACATTGCGTTGTTGTTTAGTTTTTTTCTAATTATTGATTTTTTTATTCCTCAAATCAGTACTGGGCAACCAGAGCTGCCTGTCTTTGTGGAACCACCGCCACCTCCTCAATTCCCTGTTATTTCACTTTCTGAACTTTTGCAATTACAAGAGGATCCAGACCAGGAGGTTACTTCTATGGTCTTTCATATTTCTTATACTATTTGCATTTTCATTTCATTAGAGACTCATAGTAAATGTATTTGGTATTAGGAAATGGTGTTTGCTGTTGAATGCAAAGTTGTTGGAATTAAATCAGGCTGGTGTTATATGGGGTGTCCTACCTGTGTTTTGAAGCCTATACAAAGGCAAAATGAGTACTATTGTGTTAGATGCAACAAGGGAATATCAGCCAAGGCTGCCAAGTAAACATCTCCTACTTAGTTGACATTCATTATTCTTCCTCATTGAACTGTAATTGCTTCCATTATTTTTATTTGAAATTCGTGATTTGTGTAGATACCGTGTTCAACTTGAAGTTCAAAGTGATTTGAAGTCAGCAGTATTTGTACTCTTTGAGTATGAAGGGAAGCGATACTTTGGATTGAGTGGTCATGAACTATTCCAGAAAAATGGGCAGAATGGTGACTTGCCACCTGATGAATTGCTTTAATTGGTAGGTCTGACCAAGAAATTCCATGTCAAATTCAAGATCAACCTTTTTGCTGATTCCCAAGCTGATTTTACTGTGCTGAGAATACTAGAACCCACTCCAAAGGTCAGTAGATACCCCTGCAAGTATTTTTCCTCTTTAAATAAGAATTAAGTGTTATGATCACTTTTCTATCTCAGTATTGATCTAGGTTGTAATCTTTTTTTTCCCAGTCAAGAATCCTATTATAATTTCTTTACTGGCTAATGTTACATTTGGATATTATAATCTCAGGGAGAAGGTTATATGATTCACAAAGATGGATCATCTTCATCTATTGCGAGTGGGCCTCGATCTTCTCAACCCTCCACTGATCAGTCTGGACAGTCTGCTACTGAAAAATCGATTGAAACACCAGTGGACTCTGATGCAACTCCAGACAACAAACTGAAGAGGAAGATGCCCCTGGAGTGATTGCAACACCAACAAAGAATTTGTTGCAGCTAGGATCTTTTTATTGCATTTGTTTTGTGTTCCAGAGTTTGTCATGTGTTTGCTAAGGACTGAATGTTGCTGGTTTGCACTTAGACTTAGGATTGTGAACATATTTTAGATTCGTAAGCTTTTTCTGAATATTTCAATTGGGCATTATGTAGCCTATACATATCTAATTCCACTATTACTAAATTTAGCTTAAATTTTTTGGAATGGTTTCAAATTCCATACTGATGCCAGAGATGGTCGTGGTTGCAAGTTGCCAATTTTTACAGTGAGATGTGATACCTAATTTGTAGGCAGTCAAGGAAAATGGTCGTTTGAGGAGAGGTGACTATTTTGCTAGAATCTCATGATGCCTACTTTCGAGAATCTTTTGTAGAGATCTTGAGCAGAATGTCGAGAGCAAATTTTTCGATACTGAGTGAGGAGAAGGAAGAGAGCCATGTTTTTGTATGAGGGCCATAGCGAAGAAATTGGTATCGGCAGCACCATAGAGAAGGAAATTAGGTCAGGGCGGTGGTTGCACGGCGGCAGGAGAAGGAAGCAGGGAAGAGTTCTCTCAATTGGAATAAGCTGGCCCCTTCCACAGAACCAATCCCACGGGCCAGCTTTTCTTGGGCTTTTCCAACTGAGAATTGGGTTGGGCTTTTAAATTAATTTGGTGGTATCATTCCGCAGCAGCATTTCTCTGCCAGATTGATTTCCTCTTTACCATTACAGAGATTTTCCCCTTCCCCTTTCTTCCGTTCTTCCTCCTCCTCTCTCTCGCTCTCTCTCCCTATATTTCTGTTTTTTGATTTGTGTTAAATTGGTTTGCCAGTTGGCAGTCTCACTACACTATCTCATATAATGAATTGAAGGGATTTGGGACTAAAATGCATTAATAGTAGTACTGTTGTATAACTAAATTAAATAATAATGATTTGGGACTAAAATGCATTAATAGTAGCAATCAAGTCACATCTACTACGACTAATTTGTTCGAAGTACCATAACTAAATTAAATTCATATTTTACATCAAGTACCACCTCAAAAGGATAATAAACTTACAAAAGATATTAGCGTTCACATATCCATTACGCCTACAGATCATTAGAGATTACAGAGAGGTTGACCATTACTAACATTAATCCGATCATATTAATAATACCCAATGCTACTTAGTTACCTAAAGGTGGGAACAACTTAACCAAGAAGAGATCAAGATAATTCCCCACGTCGTTCCAAGGACCGAATGTGACCAAGACCTCATATGCCTTCTCACCAATCATGTTGAGAAGTGTAACATAGTCCAAATTTTGAATCTCAGAAAGACTGACAATAGAAGACATGATTCTCCGTAAGTAAGCTGATGGGAACACGACCTCAACATCAGTAATGTCATCTTCAATGGTCAAGTGAATCAAATATATCCTGGATGCCTCACACCAAGATCTCCTCAACTCTGTTACAACGCCAGAGAAAATGTACGACTTGCCCTGATATAATCCAAAACATAAGGAGTTCAAAATAATACCAAATTAGATTCAAATCATTGAGATAAGAGATAGAGAAGGATAGATAACAAACATGTTATCTTAGTCACCTGATTACCACCATTCAATTGCATTGGAATAAGATCTATAGTTTCCACGGTCTCCCAAATTGCTACGGCAGTTTGATACTTTAGATTCGTGACGAAATCGTCTCCCATGGTAAAAAAAAACTTATAATTTAGATTATTAGCAATATTAGCAACTATATTGAGAAGTTATGAGAACACAAGAATATGTTTATTATTAGTTGGTTAGGAAGCAATTACTTACGGTTCCATTCAGGTATTATATCCATTTTCAAATATATGTCAAACTTATTTCCTTCTACTCAATCTCTATTATTGGAAGTAGCTGCCTTTTTTAGGATCATAAAAATAAACAATGTTAGTTGTTGTTTGGGACCACAATGTATATTACACTTCCAATGTTGAATTAATAACTAATTCGTATTCATTTGAACAATATCAAATAGACTCTGATCAATTATATCAACAAAGGTTAGAGTTCTTACACTAATCAACTAATCATGTAAAACAGAATATAAACAAACAATAGCAAAGCAAGACATGACTCTGTCAATCCTTCGATGAATTTTTCAATTGGACCTGGATTTTACTTCTTTTGACTTATTCATCTTTGATTCTTACCTGGATAATCAATTCTTAACTATAACAATATATACTGTTTTATGGAACTCCAATGGAAACTGTTATACCCATGACTGAACTCCACTACGTATTAAACAAACAATATACAATGTTTTGTTTGTATGCAACACACACTACGTAATCAGATCCAAGAAAATAATATTGAAATATACGTCCTCAACTATGGATTAATGCTGTGTTACAATCGAATAAATCATAACTAATCATGTCCCTTATTTTAATAGATCCAACCACATTGTATGAGAAACCATGGAAACAAACGCACCTGTCAAGCTCGCAAGGTTTTGCTCGGAGTCTCGAACTGAAACACTTTCTGAAATCTAAGATGTTAGTAGATCGGGAGAAAACAAATTTCAATGATAGTATTCATAGTCCGGTTTAGATCTAATACCTTCATATAATCTGGATTCGTTTTGGGAACCGTCGACTGGAGTTATCAGATGCTACAAATAACTTCGCAGCTGTTGAGAGACTGAAAGAAAAGATGTTGCGAGTTAGGGTTTTAGGAACCGTCGACTGGAACTGAGAATACAGTTCGTCACGCAGACAGGAGGACACGAAACGGCGTGCATGCAATAAATTTGGTGGCCGTTTGCTGTCTTCGGCGGAGAATGAAGAGAGGCATGGAAGGGAAGAAGGAAGTTGAACCGTTTTCGTCTTTTATGTTGGGTTACTATTTTTTAGTTTAATAAATTTACTCAGGTTATAAAAGTAAAGGGGAAAACATTGGGCCTTTAATTCATTTGATAAAGCATGCCCATTAAGACCCGAGCCGAGCTGAATTTCTATGGCCCATTTGGTATGGTTTATCAATCTTATTAATTTATAACTTCCTTTGATCTGCCAAACCAAATGCTCTTTCAGCATTGTCTCATAAATTATAAATTTATGATCCCTTTGTTTTCTATTGGTCCTTTTTCCTTAGTTCTGCCCCACTTAATTTTTTTTCTCAATTGATCATTTCATCGTGTTTGAGTCAATTCTTAGTTGGCATCTTTCATGTTTGATGGGGTAGTTGAGATTGGGATGATGGTAGTAATATTGATTAGTGAGCACTAGGGTAGCAAGTGAGTTACACTAGATAATAAATGATGAAATGCAAATATGTAGTATGTCCGTATCCAACGTAAGTTGTAAATCAAAAAAAGTTCAACATAGAAACGTATTTATTCTTGATAAGCTGTTGCAAAAGTGGTTGGCAATCTAATGGTTACAAGTTAATCGTATCACCAGTAAATTAAAAGGTGGAAACCTAAAATTGACAATTTTTTTTTTGAAAATCACTTTTACAAGTAAAAATTGGTATGGTTTAAAAAATGCAACATAGAAATGTAATAAGTCTGGATAAGGAGAAGCAAAATTGCGTAGTAGTCTAACGGTTATAAGTTGATCGTATCATCAATAAGTCAGAAGTTTGAAACTTAAAAATGACAATTTTATTTTCAAAATCAATTAATTTAATTGTATCATTAGTAAGTTAAAAGTTTGAAACCTAAAATTGACAATTTTGTTTTTCAACATCACTTTTAAACTAAAAATTGGTTTGCTTTAAAAATGCAACATAGAAATGTAATAAATCTGGATAAGATGTTGCAAAATTGCTTGGTGGTCTAATGATTACAAGTTGATTGTATCATCAATAGGTTAGAAGTTTGAAACTTAAAATTAACAACCATTTTTTTTCAAAATCACTTAATTTAATCGTATCATCAGTAAGTTTAAAAGGATAACATCTAACATTGGCAATTTTGTTTTTCAAAATCACTTTTAAAAGTAAAAATTGGTGTGGTTTAAAAAATGCAATGTAGAAATGTAATAAGTCTCGATAAGCTGTTGCAAAATTGCTTAATAGTCTTTCGTATTACAGATCTTTCTTTTCTTGCAATCGAAATTCCTATATCTGAGAAATCCCATCACCAAGTATTTCACTATGCTCAAACCTAATGTTTTGAATGTGTGAATCATTGAATCAAGAGTATTTATTTTTGGAGTGATTTAAATAAAGTATTCAATTTATTGCTTTGGTAACGTACTCTTAGTAGTAATGAAGCTGATTCCGGCGAATAATCTACACCAAAAAAAATAATTATCCATGTCCTCAAACTAATTTCAGTCAAGTTCTGATGAGTTGTTACCGCAAAAAAGCTTTAGAGCCCATAATGTTCAATGACTATTCACAAAAACAACCCCAAAAATTAAAAGCCTGTTAATCAGTATAATAAAATGGGCCAAAACCAAAGCCCAATCAAATTTTGGTCGCCATTCAGATATATAAGGAACAAAATGGGCCATATAAAATACCTAGATCAGCTAAAAGAGGTCGTACAAAACCAAAAAGAGTTGCTTCTGTTTGTCTCATTGGTCAGCTGGTTTTCACGAAAGGGGAAACCCTAGATTCTTACCCCGCAGCTGCCGCCGTTCTGGTCCCCCATCTCCTGCAGTCGACCCCATACATAATTTACGGCAAGTATGAGATATTTATTCTATTCTTTCTATTTCTTTTCCCTTTGTTTTCCTCATTTTGTCTTCTTTCACAGTTGGAGTAAGAAGCTATTGCTGGCCCAAAACTCTATCACAACCGATCTGTTATTTTCGGCGAGAACAGAAGGGAAAATGTTGCCGCAAGACCCACATGGTATCTTACAATTAGTCGAATAGAGGTTTGTCCGAATGCTTTTAGATATAATGACTCGGTTTCCCTTTTGGTTTTAGATGTAATGGCTGAATCCACAACCTTTCATGAACTTCATCTTGGAAAAAGCAACCGTTTCCTCATGGCTAGATTGTTAAACATTTGGTCAGAATGTGAGTCAGATGGAACTAGATCTATTACCTCCATGCATATGCTTTGGTTAGATAAAGAGGTACAATTATAAACATTGAACACCTACTGGTTTTATTCTTATCACAGAACAGTTACTTTAAGCTCATTTGTAACATTTTAACTCCTTTAGGGACAACTTATGGAAGGAAATGTACCCTATGAAGATTCTGCTCATATTTGCAAAGACATTGAGATTGGTTGTCTCTATACCATGATGAATCCAACTATCATACCAGCTAGATCTGAGCGTCGCACTGCACCATCCAATTTGAGATTGTATTTTACAAAGGAATCTTCATTCAAAGCAATGATCGAATATCGGAGCATAATGCATTTTCCAGATGATTATTTTTTTCAAAGTCCTTTCAATGGTAGTGGTTCTTCAACAAGTCCTCCACCTTGCTTCTCAGGTATTCATTATTTATACTTAACCCATTGATTTCAACAGGTTGTATTAGAAATTGATGTGCTAAATATTGTATATTCCAAACATCATATAGATCAAAACAACTAAAATATTTACATATTTTAGATATCACAGGATGTGTAACGCATATCACCGAACCAGCTAAAGTCAATTCTGATACATCTATGTTCCAGATTTATTTTGAAGATATGAGGTACCACTTATAATTAGTTACTATAATGTCTTACTGAATCAAGATAGTCTATAATCATACTTATACTCCGTTTGCCAACTTTTTAGTGGAAACAAAGCACTTGTGAGCTATATTGGCACAAGAATTAAAGATTTCATTGAAAGCGCTACTGCCAAAGAAGTTCATTATCCTTTGGTTGTGACAGCAACAGCACTCACCCGGAACATGCATGAATATGATCATATTCCACAGTTCTGTTTCGTAACATCTCCTGGCAGTCGTCTTATAGTACATTCGTACAATGAGATGACCAAAGATTTAATGAACAGGTAAATGGTTATATTTATATGTTCACTTTTAATATATTTTGCATGTTTTTTCCTAGAAGCAGTCTAATTTAACTTTCAAAACACTCTAGGTTCTTTCCTAATAGATTGCCTGTGGATATCATTGACTACAAGTCAAAAGAGCGGCTTGGATACCTTCGGCGTGACATTCCGCCCAGAATTTCATTGTTGGAATTGACCAACAAGCTGCCTTTAGGAGAAGAAGAAACAGAGGTAACTATCATTACCTTCTATGCTCTGTTATACATTTGTCAAGGAAGTATATTTGACAAATACAAAGAAGTTTCAAATTGAGTTTCAACAGTAGCAGTGTTTTCAAAAACACCTATTTCTAATTTTTGTATTTCTCCTATATCAAACTATATAACAGATACTATATCGGTGCAAACTCAAAATAGTCAAATTCGACCTTGGTTCTGTGACCCGTGAAGTTTTCCCTGGAGACACTGAGTATTTCCAAATACCTTTGCTTTTTGATTCCCTATTATAAAAATACTATACATTGACCAAATGCCTCTAATCTACATATTTCTTCAGATTATTCTATGAACTGCAGGCTGAATGTGAATCAGGAAATCACAAGGCAAAGGTCATTCTTAATCATGGACCTACTCTTGCTCTGCTTCGTAAGCCACCAATCGAGTTTAAAAAAATGCCATATGACAAGAGAGTTCAGATGCAGAAAGAATGCTGTAACATCAAATTCATGGCAGAAGTATACATCATTGGATCAGAATATGAAGTTGAACCACAGATTCGCATGTTTGCAATTTGGCATCCAAAAGCATTTCAACCATTACTGGATCTTAAACTGAACTTATAAACACTGTCCTCATTTTGCAATCCAAGAAGGTATATGTCTTCCCTTTTTTATTTCAAATACAGGAGTATATTGCTATTTATTAACACTTCCGAGGCTTTACATTTAATAATTAGCTTCTACTACTGTTATTATTTCAGGTGGTAAGACTAAGAGATGAATCAGCTGGTTGTCTGAGAAGGAATCAAGGGAATGATAACTAGGAGATATGAATTCCAATGTTATTTTGTGCATTTCATCTTTTCGGTAGTAGGAAAAGTACTTTTATATTGTTATTGCGATGTAGTTGTTATATTCTTATTTAGAAGAACAGATACTTATGTTATTTCAAGTACATGTATGTCTTCCATTTAGTTCAGCTCTTGGTACGTATGCAAAACAATATGCACTGCACCTAATTTCCACTTCTTTTTTGTATGTTTTCCACTTGCCTAATTATAAACCACTGTTTTTGTATATCATTCAATTACCTAATCAGCATATTTATCCACCGTATGCACTGCATTTGTACACCAACTCTATATTTACCCTCACATTGTTTGAATGCAAGGAAAAAACGGGATACTTAGAGTTAGAAGATAAATGAATTGTGACTACCCATACTATAATAGCAACAATGAAAACACGGATATCCCATATTCTCACACTTTCGTTCCACCCAGAACATTTACATACCTAATTTTACATCGCAAACTATTATACGTTACTCAACTCATCTGCATCCGGCCATAGGGGGAGAATATATTCTGGGTGTGGTTTAAAAGTTTGAAACCTAAAATTGACAATTTTGTTTTTCAAAATCACCTCTAAAAGTAAAAATTGGTGTGGTTTAAAAAATGAAACATAGAAATTTAATAGGTCTAGATAAGCTGTTGGAAAATTGCTTGGTAGTCTAATGGTTACAACTTGATCGTATCATCAATAGGTCAGAAATTTGAAACTTAAAATTGACAAAAATTTTTTTACAAAATGACTTAATTTAATCGTATCACCAGTAAGTTAAAAGTTTGTAACCTAAAATTGACAATTTTGTTTTTCAAAATCACTTTTAAACGTAAAAATTGGAGTGGTTTAAAAAATGCAACATAGAAATGTAATAAGTCTAGATAACGAGAAGCAAAATTGCTTGGTAGTCTAACGGTTACAAGTTGATCGTATCATCAATAATTCAAAAGTTTGAAACTTAAAATTGACAACCATTTTTTTTCCAAAATCACTTAATTTAATTGTATCACCCGTAAGTTAAAAGTTTGAAACCTAAAATTGACAATTTTGTTTTTCAAAATCATTTTTAAAAGTAAACATTGGTGTGGTTTAAAAAATGCAACATAGACATGTAATAAGTCTGGATGAGGTATTGAAACTTGCTTGATAGTCTAACGGTTACAAGTTGATCGTATCATCAATAGGTCAGAAGTTCGAAATTTAAAATTGATGAACTTTTTCCTTTCAAAATCACTTAATTTAATTTATATTTGTTGTGCTTTACTCAAAACAAAAAAAAATATTAAATCAATTGTATTAACTACCACAACCCACTCTCCCCATCCCTCCCGGACATTAATCCCACACCCCACATTAATCCCACATAATCCCATTTTCACCTAATATTATCCCGCGCCCAGGTTATTTGATTGCCGAAGATCCACAATAGTTTTGTTACTTTGCCAACTTCCATTCCCTGGTTTTGGAGTTCAGAATAATCGAATGGTGAAGGTGAATTAAAGTTGAATCCAAGACATGGTGTACCGTTCTTTACGTGAGTTGCAGGTTTCCCATGGGCAACAATGGTCTGTTCGAGTGAGAATTTTGCGTTTATGGAGGACTTTGATAGCTAATATAGATGAAACTCTCGTCCTACACATGCTGTTGCTAGATAGTGAGGTTAGTACGTCTATTGAATTCCTTATCACGTTTCATGTTGTGTATCATTTACCCAATACAAGCTTCTAACCATTCAAGTTTTTGACTTAAAAACGACTTGCAGGGAACATAAATGGAGGCTGTTATTCATCGCCTTGAAATCCCGACATTCTTACCAGCCATACAACAAGGAGGAATCTACCGGATTGAAAATTTCGATGTTGATTCTTATGAAGTTTCTTTTCGGGTTGCAATGTCAACTAGACGTATCTCTTTTCATCCTAACACTGGTGTATATCTACTGCCAAATGCTGCCGACATATCATTATGCAGCTTTCGGTTCCTAGGTCCTGCTGATTTCTTTGATACTGTTCAAAATGATCAAATATTTTCAGGTAAGCAAATCATTAACCAGATAGAGAACTCCAAGTACTTATGGATGATGTTATTATTTGATTGATCATAACATTGGCTTCATATGATGTGTAGATCTGGTAGGTGAAATAGATGTTGTAGAACCAACACAAATAATTTATCACCATGGTGTTGTTCAACGAAGCAAACATGTTTTCCTAAGGCTGTTTGAGTAAGTCTTTTTTATCTGTACTCTAATTTCCTGTGTGTTTGCTTGAAAAAATGGAACTAATGAGATTCTAATTTTAGGGGAATTACAGTCAGAGTTTTACTATTCAACTCTTGCATTGAGCAAATTGAGGGTCTAAATGAAGCTGATCCAGCACCAGGAACTGTTGCTATCTTTACTTCAGTCTATGCCTATATGAACGATAGTACATAAATATGTTGATGCGCTACTAATACATTTAATGACCTACTCTAATGAAGTACTTGGTTTTTGTAGATCAATTCTATTTTATAGCCTCATTTGCAAGTAATGTTTACTTGAATTTGCACTATCCACAGCTTCATATTTTGTTGAATCAGTAAGTTAATCTTTATATCTAGGGTTGAATTCTATTCAATTTGGTTAGGATAACTCAATTTGTATACATCTATAATTGCATCTTCCTTAATTGGGGTCTAAATTCAACTAACATGTTTATCAGATCTAGCAACCTGCTTATCAGTCACCATGATTATATTGACTATTCATTGGAAGCAGCAATGGAAGTGAGTGAAGCAAGTTCTGTTCGGGAAATTCTATTTCTATCGACTAATGTGCACAACATGGTAATTTAATACAATGATGTTTGTGTACTTCTTGCTTACTTTAGCATTTATTTCTACTATCTAAGGAAATTATTTATTTACACACAGGGAAAGAAATTTGTTATTGAGGCAACAGTTGAAGCTGTCGATGTATTCTAGACACCTACTTTTCAGAAGTACATGGTTGAATTGACACTGAAAGATGGATCTATGAAGATCAGTATTGTGTTCCTGTCATCCGACTTTAAGAAAATAGGCAGCCAGCTCTTCCCGAACCCAAGAATCGATTGGACTACTACTTTTGAAGCCAACCTGAGATCTATTACTCACAGATCTCTCATTTTCATGATTGAAGTTGGACGTGTTAATGAGGTCACAAATCAGTGTCTTTTAGTAGTTAGTAAGTTGTTTGGGTAGTGTTTCTCCCCATATATCATTTAGTAAGTTAATGTCCATTTGGTGAACGTTCGAAATTGGGTAGTTGCACATTTCAAACTATGTTTCTAATTTTGTACTTTATTAAATAAGGTCTTTTGATGTTTTTTTACCTTTTGGTACTATGTTTTATTAGTATAGGGATTTGTAAAGTGTCAAGTGATGGCATTTTCAATGCTAAAATTCCATTTGCCAATTTGATTGCTCATAATTCATCACACCAAGACCTCCTCAGCTCTATTACACGACCAGAGAAAATGTATGAAGTGCCCTGATATAATTGAAAAGGAAGGGTTTTGCAAAAGTAAACAAATAAGATACAAATTAATAAGATAAGGAACAGAAAAGGATAAGAAAAAAGAAATTATAATTCAATTTGGGCTAAACATAATAGAAATGCAACAGATAGCCTTTATGGTTTCAAATTGGACTAATGGGCTTCTATGATCGGCCCAAAAACAATCACTAATTTAATCCAGCTAGCCGGCCAACGGGCCGGCCCCTATGCTAGTGCTTGTATGAAGGAAATTCCAAGTTACCGACATGCTTTCTCTTTCGCTGAATAACAGGCCATAGAAGGTTTGAGGTTTGCTTTACTTGATACCTCAAGGCATTTTCAAAACTCATTTAAGATTTACTTCAATTAGTTTTTCGAAACGGACTGAAAAAATTATTTTGGCACTGAACCTTGTTAATGAAGTACAAGTGTTACGCTTCAAGAAAAAAACAGGTGTAAGATTGGAAACAAAATATTAAGGCAGGCGAGCAACATACTCATCCAATAAAAGGTGAGGAACATGACATATGTTAGAGAACAATGTCGTCAAAATCACGCTTTAAAGTTTTAGAACTTACGCTTTTATGTTTCTAGGTCACCAAAACGCTTCTACGCAAAATCACAGTTTTATAGTTAATGTAGTTAAAAACTTGCTTTAAAACTTAAAAACTTACGATTTTACGCTTCTAGATAACCAAAACGCTTTTACATAGAAACACGCTTTTGACAATCGCCTCACTTTTGTGAAAATAATTTTTTTGTGCCTGAAATACCATGAGGTTCTTTTTTTTTTTTTTCATGCTTAAGGTCCAAGTTGAGATTTATATTTCCCATACTTCCCTTCATATTTTTTCATATTTTCAAATTCAACGATTCTTTACAGTAAGTTAACAACTACATCACTGTTTAAGCTACTTAAAACTTAAACATAACCATTTTAGAAAGGGCAAGATCTATCGAAAGTAGTTCTCTGTGAAAAAGTGAGACTAGCCTTATGAGTTATGCCATAAATGTTGAATTGCTCCAATTGATTGAATCGATCTCTAAGATCTTCAACCATAGCAAAAATTAATCTTCTTTGTTGTCGCATCTATTTTGGGATCTCATCAAACAAAACATTTGAGAAACACTATGTATCTTATCGGCAATGAAGCCTCATTTCCAAACAACGTAAAGAGGTACTAACTTGCAAACTACTTGCAAAATATAGAAGATTTTGCAATTCCTTAAGCATGATACCATTTGCATATAGGCCATGGGAGCATCACCATAAATCATTAAATCCTCATCAACTTTGAGTTAATACTATTCTTACAAAACATTAATTATAGCGAATGGCTTTGCTACCATGCCAAGCATCATAAACACATGGAATTACATGAGAACAATAAGGAATTGAAGCTTAAATTCAACGGAATTGCCAAATCGATCATTTGAAACTTCAAAGATGAACAGGTTTGCTTTCTATGCCTTCTAGAAGTCACCTAATAGAAGTGTTATTCATTCTATTGAGCCACATAGTGTGATTCCACATCACTGCATACTGCAACTCCACCTCTTCCATCTATTTTTTCCCTATTGGAACCTCATCAAGCAATTGACCTGTTTCAATAAGGTTGTCTCTCCCTTGCAGCAAAACAAATCCAAGCAACAAAAAGAAGAAAAAAAGATGCACCTAATTCCCAATTAAACAATTTCCTTCTTTGGTCACACAAATAACAAGTATTCGCCACTCATATGGCAATTTTCATAAATGGAAGGAAAAAGAACTACAAGGAGGGATTACATTAACGATGGCCAACTCTCTTTATCCGGCTTTTGCCTTATTGCTCTGCATATCATGCAAAACTTTGTTGGCGCCACTGAACTGGTGCAAGCGGAAGAACTGCATGTTGCTCGGAATCTGAAACAAAGGAGAGATATAAATAGATTTATACCTTAGACCCTTAACATCTCAAGGAAGAGCACGGAAGAACCTCCATCCAAATTTGGATTCGACTTTTTCCTTTCCGATTTTACTAAGCAAAGAAAAAATTCGAGTGGGTTGACATCGGTGGATAAAAATGGTGATCGAGGAACCCTATTTTACTTCTATTTGGACCGTTGAATTAAAATGAAAAAGAAAATTATATGCATATGCGATAAAACAACTAAACAAGGTTGTAAACGCGATTTAGCTCATTAGTCTAGTCGAGTTAGTGGGTTAAGGGTTAATGGGTGTATCGATTTAGCCCATTTTAGTCAAGATATAATGGAAAAGTCATTATATTATACTAAATATTAAATTCAACAGAGTAAAAAATCAACAATACTTATCCAACCCACTTAAGGCTCATTTTTATGCCAAGTAAACAAGCAAAAGAAAACTACAGCAGAGGTGTACATAGAGAGAATCATTAAACTTATGTCTACCAAATAGCAAAAGGAGGAAGAGGAAATCTCAAATAACAACAGCTTAAGCATTTTTTGTTTTGCAAGTGATATCAAGTTTCACTCACAAAATTGAGAAACCCAACTGGAAAAGGTTTTCAATAAACAAAGCAAAAGAAAACGAGAGAAAAGCGGATTGTTGAGAGAGACCATTGAAGAGAATAATTAAAAGAAGAAAGAACATCATATGCGAGAGCTGAGTGTCAGATTCTTAAGTGGACCCCAATTGGTCAATCCAAATTCCAAATCAAATCTTATGCCCCTTACTCCCTCCCTCCTAAACAGAAAATAAAAAATCATAATGAAATAAAAAAAATTCTAATAAGTACATGGATAGTCATTTCATCGAACAACCTCAACAAAACCAAGGAAAAGCTAAGTTTGGAGAAAGAGATTCTTACATCATACTGGGCATTTGTAAGCAATAGTCGCCAGAAAAGGAGAACGACGGATAGGACTGCTAGCGGGAAACAGCGACAACAGCTTTTGGTTCGAGAAGGGAGGAGAATGACAATTTGTAAAATTCTTAGGGTTCAAACATTCCAAAATTTGACTAGAGGAGAAGAAGTCTACTGACACGCTACGACACAACACCAAATTGCGACCAAGTGTAATCGCAGTCCGGAAATGCAGAATAGTGGCAAGTTCTAATTATCAACCCGGGGTCTAGATCTACTGCCTACTCCGTGATTATCTATTATCTAGCCAACTAAGTCGATTGATTGTTGTTTTAACTAAAAGCAGTAAGAAAGCAGGAATTGGTTCGATTTTCTGAAACAAAGGAAGAGTCACTCGGGAATGAGTCCCCCTAGCTCCTTAGTTAGGTCTCAGTTGTAATTACCCTGGGTTGATTTACTGTTGATTAAACTGCGGAAGATCCGACAGTAGTTTGGAATCTCTTAAGCTGACCAAGCCTCTCAGTCTAACTACCCGGCAGATGACTAGTCTTCACCGGGATAGAAAGCTGAAGCAATAAGCACAGAACTCCACTACTGGAATTGGATTCCAGTACAAAGCAGTAGACGGACTAACTCTCGTATAGCCAATCTACTACTACCGAATGAAGAAGCTCTAACAACCTAATCAGATTCAATCTATCTCAGTTTGCAGCAGAAATCAAGAAAAGCTAATCAGACTTCAATCAATTCAATGAATAATGCATCATTCGATTAAAACCAAACAGTATAATCATCCCAAGTCATTACAATCAAGATTCCTAACACATGGAACTAGGGTTCTTCATACCCAAATGAAAGATGGTTCTACTCCATAGAGAGAGAGAGAGAGAGAAAAACATAATACAAAGCAGTCATACTCATCAAGATGGGAAGAATCTGCTCTGGGATGATGATTTTCACTCCTATGATGATCTCCAAGCTCGATTTGATGAAACCCAGCTCCAAGATTGCTTCTAGGATGTGTTCTTCGCACTTTTTCTCTTTAGGGCTCTGTTTTTGCTCTGAAAAGTCGATCCCCCTCTTTCTGCTCGAATTTGGGTTAAAATCCAGAAAATCCCGATCACACGGGCAGGCCACACGGCCGTGTGGCTTACCCAGCTGCCCGTGTGAGTTCCAAAACGTGGCGCTCCGATTAAGTGGATTTCAGGCTTCCTACACGGCAGGGACACACGGCCGTGTGGAGTCTCCAGTATGCCCGTGTGAAGCCTCGGCAAATCCCACACGGCCACATGGGTTTCTTACACGGCCGTATGGGTTTTAGGAGTGCCCGTGTGGCTTCCTCAGCGTCTCGCCACACTTCCGATCTTCGTCCAATCTACCGCGAACTCGCTCCCAAACTTTCATTCACGTACTAGGACCTGAAATATCACAAACAAGCACAACCTAGCGTGAAATTGGCCTAAAACACGAGAATCAACATCTCAAACGGCTCAAGAATAGGGGCAAAAACATGTGCAATTAACGGTTTATCATCTACCTCGAGACTTCCACTTCCTTTCAACCAAAACAACATCCCCTTGCCTCTCCGCCCAGAACTCGTTTGCGCAGGCTAACTTGTCGGGTTTCCCGGATTTGACTAGATCGGGGCGGATGCTTTATTTGCGATTCCTGCTCGTTTTCATGGGTGGGTCCGGGTTGAATGGGTCCGACCGGCCATTTGATCTGCGAGTTGATAAAACTATGAAAGGTTTTACGCAAAATACATTGTTATAGCCAAAACTTTCGTGTTGTTGACAATGATAGCCAATTTTAGTGAAATATCACTTATAGCCACTTTCGTCTAATTCTTTAACGGTGTTAGCATTAAGTATGACTGGATAAACGGAGGTGCTAACGTGGCAAGCATTCCCAAGCAAAAATTAAAACAAAAAAATAAATAAGACAAAAAATCTTCTCTCACTCTCAACCTAACCTCTCCAAAGATTGTCCTCCACCCTCCTCCCCACATCCATCGCCATCATAGATCCTCTTCTGCAACCTACTCCATATCCCTCTTCTTCCTCGACCAAAATTCATCCATCCCCGCTTTCATTCCCTGAAACTCCTCCACCGCCATGCTCCGGCGAAAACTCCAAATGAAGGACCCAAATCCAACTACTTGTGTACAGAACGTTAGTTAGCAATCGAGACTGATTGCCTTGATGTGGTTCTGATTTGTGCCCTTCACAACTCTCCTCTTTTTCCCATTTTGTTTCTAAGTTGCTACAAGTTTCACTTCCCATCTTCTTTGTCGTTTTCCCCGCTACTTGAATAAATCCCTCCTGAAAGCAGCCGCTGCTCTATCACTGGAAACCTCAGCCTCCCCATGTTCTTTATTTACTCTGATTTGCTCTTCTTCTTTGCAATTGATCTTTACCCCCACCTCTGATTCCTAGCCTAGTTCCTGAAGTAAATTGGAAGCGCGACGGAGCTTGAATCGACTAGCTGGAGGGGGGAAGGGTAACAACATGGCGGTGACAGAGCCTGAACGGCGGCCAGTTATGCAGAGGAGAAACAAAACATGCAGCTGAGTTTATAATGGTGGATCGGATCTGGTCTCCACTCGCCTCCTCGACTCCAATGTAAGCAAAAAAAAAAAATTGTCGCCATTTGCAATAGGAAGAAGACAAATCGATTGGGAGGAAGCGACGACTACTCTCCCAGGAAGTGAAAGGTTGATTGGAGGGCAAAGATGAAGGTTCTCATCGAGGATTTTTGTCTATGAATTTCTGGATTTTTGGGTCTTGGTCTCTGGATTTCTCGACTCCTATTGAAGAGACGAAGATCAACTGCTACTCCGTCCCTTCGACATCATCAATTGCTCTCGCTGACGGTTCAACGAGTTTCATATGAAGATAGTGCCAACGGCGGGTGAGTGGTGAGAACTTTAGATGGAATTGGGGATGGCGGAGGTCGTCGATGGAATTGGGGATCTTCTTACACAGTGGAGAGTTGCGAGGAATACATATTTTGTTTTATTTTGTTTTTGTTTAAAAATTCATTTTAATTAAAAAAATAACGTGACATCCATCTGTCATCGAAGGCTGAGTTGTCAATGATGTGTGCGGTGAGTTGACAGCCTAGTTAGCATACGTTAAAATAACTGTGTAATTGACACTATTAAAGTTTGTAATAAAAATTGCTATATTTGCCCTGAAACCTTTGAAATGCTAGTCATAAGTGGAATTTCTCTAGAATTGGATATTGTTAATTTATTATCACAAACAAACGCGAAAGTTTTGATTATACAAATTTATTTTGCCAATCTTTTATATAAGATTAGGCTGAGTTCAGTCCGGATAAATATTGCAATAAAATACCCGCTCCAGTAGGGATGACAATCAAATCCATGGCTGTGGGTACCCGACCGCCCCGACCAAGTCAAAGCGGGGAATCCCCGCTTTGACCGGGTATGGGTAAAACCCGCAAAAAGTTTGATGGGTATGGGGCGGGTATGGTTTTAGCCTCCCCCGCCCCATATCCATACCCATACCCGCCCCACCAAGAGAATTTCTTCACATATAAAAAAATATGTGGATTAAATTGCAATCTATCAATGATGATGATGATAACTCGAGAAAATAAATAGTAGAAATAATTGAGTAACCACCTTAATCAAAACCTAATTCATTTCCCTCAATTCTCCTTCCACTCTTTCACTTCCCCCTTGTCAACAAGATTATGTTAGTTAATTATTACTTAGTAAATGTATCAAGAGTTAGAGCATAATAATTTAAAAAATATTGTAGTCTATATTATGTATTAATGGATGTTTTAGGATCATATTCTTTTAATCGTATTTAGAAAATGACCATGTTTTGTTGACTTCATGATATAATAGGTTTGTTTATGGTTATAATTAAAACTTTTCTTGTAAATTTTAGGTATAATAATGTTGGATGTACGGAGATAGGTATTACCAAGGGGTACACGAAACCCACGGGTATGGAGATTAGTTTGCAAAACATTCCCGCATGAGTATGGGGCGGGTATGGATTTGAGTATTTGAAGATGGGGTGGGGATGATTTATGCAAACCCACTCCAAACCCGTCCCATTGCCATCCTGCGCTCCAGCCTCCATTCCATGTTTACTTAACCCAACAACTAGAGAAAAGTTCCCGCCATCACCATGTTAGCTCTCCATGGCTGCTTCCCGAAAAGCCTATTCCCCTACCCTATTGGAACCCCCAAATTGGAAACCTCGACCGTACTGTGTAAAGATAGGATCTTGAAGGTCAATTGCTGCAACCCAAATCGCCAAACTGAGAGGGGCATCGAATTTGATATTGGAGGAGCCTTCTATCGCCATGAAAGCTCCACAGGGCGCGACTTGGGCATTTTGGCCGCTTCGGTTTACAGGCAATCGAAAGGCGGCCTACGAGTGCTTGATGCGATGTGCGGGTGCGGAATCCGGTCGTGTCGGTACTTAATGGAAGCGGAGGCGGATTTCGTGTTGGCGAACGATGCAAATGACGAGTACAGGGATTTGATTGTGGGGAATTTGAAGCAAGTGGAGAGAGACGAGACGAGATGGGTCGTTTGTCACTCCGAAGCGAATCGAGTTTTGACAGAGCGTTATTTGCAGAGAGATTTTTTCGACTTGATCGATATCGATTCGTTTGGCAGCGAATCCATGTTCCTCAGGTCTGCAATGCTGGCTTTGAGATTGGGCGGATTGCTTTATCTCACCAATACTGATGGCTACTCCTCTGGCGGTCACCGGCCTCGCCAGTGAGTTTCTAGCAGTTTCCTTTTTCAATTGTCCACTGAATTTCCAGTTTCCTTATCTATAGCAAGTAGCTGAAACTGGGGACGGAAATGTTATTTCTGTGTAGTTCATTGGACGCATATGGAGCATTTGTTCGTCCTCTGCCATTTGCGAATGAGATTGGTTTGCGAATGCTTATTGGAGGGGCGGTGAGGGAAGCGGCAGTTTTAGGCTATCATGTTACGCCATTGTTCTCTTACTATGCGTACCATGGACCAGTTTTCAGGGTCATGCTCAGAATGAACCGTCCGAAGATTCTCGAGAATAGGTGGGAGTGAAAAATGGAACTCTCTCTCGTACCAGTGCTTATTTTTGGTTTCCATGGCTTGTAATTCTCACGCCCTCCTTCATCTTGCAACATAGGGACTATGGTTTCATCGGTTACTGCAACCGCTGTGGCCATTCTCAAGCATTTTCGTGGGAGGAGCTTGGCAAGATTGGTTGCTCTTGCTGTAACTCAGAGGTATGTATCTATCTATAGTTGACCTTCATGGCATTCTTACGAGTGAGCTCAGAGCTCAAGGGTATGTAATTTCGTGGTGTGGCAGATGACCACAAATGTCTCTCATGGACATTGATGTAGGGATCTCGGCAGGGATTTGTTGTGTCTGGACCATTATGGATAGGCCCTCTCCATAGTTCCGACCACATCACACAAATGCTGGACTTAGCAGCAGAATGGGGATGGGTGGGAAATGGAGCAGGAGTTGAACTTGAAAAGCTTTTGAAACATATGTTGGATGAAAGTGACCCAAGGTTACCACCGGGATACATCAAACTGGACGAGGTTCGTTCGATCCTACCTTCTCTTCTCTCTTCTTTTTCTTTCTTTGGTGACCTCGCTTCTCATCAAGTTACTAGGATCCCTCCATTTTCAGATGACAAGACGAGCAAAAATGAATGGCCCTCCATTGAGGATGTTGATGCGCACCTTGCAGGAGGTATTCCCAGCATTTTTGTTTCTTTTTGGTTTGTCCATAGTAATCTTGCTAGAGACTAGGGAACCCCATCTAAGTCAATGCCTTCTATCCAACTTATAGCAATAGAACTGTACCATCTTAGGCCTCCTTCATTTCCATCGAATGTGAAGGTTAAACATATTGTTTCAGATGGGATATGCTGCTAGCAGGTCACACATTGCTTCTAGCGCCATCAAAACCGACTGTGGAATGGCAGTCCTCACCAAGCTTGCTAAGGAGCTCGTGAGCATCCCACAGAGTTAATGAATTGGACAGTTTGCTTTCGAACTCGTGAGCCTTGAACAAGGCAAGATTAGTTGGAATTATTATGATTGTTTATGTGAAGACTACATACATTTGACAAGATATATGGAGAAGAATATGACCACAGTGATCATAGTAGTCGTCAACTAACATATGTGGCATGGCCAAAGAGAAGCTTTCCATGGCCATCTAGCTTTGTTTCAGTTTTATTCACTAACTAGAATCAATACCAGCGGCGTAGAGTTGTGGCAGCATGATTGTATTGTGGTCAGTTTAGGTAATGGCAAACTGGAGACTGTTGTGCTACTGGCAATTGTGTGAGTTTAAATTTCTTTTTGATGAATGTGTGAGTTTAAATTTAAGCGGGCTAGAAATGTATAAAATTGTTTCTGAAATTAACATCACCGTTCTCCATTCCGTGAAAGTGTGCAACTCAGACAACAATTTTACTTCCAATTTCCTCATACTACATTATAAAGACTAGCTTATTACCCGGCCCGTTGGCCGGATTACTGTATGTTACCCACTTGTGGAATGGGAGAGAAAGCAAGTGAGAGTGAAGGGATTGGGATTTCACTTGATTAGGACCGGCCCACTAATCCGATTCTTCCCGACCCGCCCCAACCTAAAGGGTCAGAAAGAGCCAATAAGAAAATACGAACGGAGAGAATTAGTAATATATCTTGACTCTTCAGAAGTGGGTCAAACAGGATAAAGGTTGGGTGAGGGCAATTTTTAGCGCTAAGCAGAGTTCTGGGTTGAATAACTTTACTTAGGCCTAGAAATTGGTGCTGATGCAGACTGCAGTTTTTATCATACCATCATCAATCATCATTGAATTAGTCTTGGGCATCCCTCCCCGTTGTCGGTCTGAATTTTAATGATGGCTTCATTCCTTGCACCAGCCATATCAGCGAGTTGTCATCTCGAGCATGATTTGCCTATGTACAAATGATACAATTAGAGTATGAAACTGAATTCAAAAAAAAGGAAAAGAGAATTCTATCACATGCCAATAAATACACACATAATAGTTGAAGCTAAGTGAAAGTCATTACTCGCACATCAATTCTCAAAAATTACAGACTAAACAATGGCTAGAATGGCACTGAAACTACCAAGAATCATGGACGAAACAACTTGTCAAATTAAATAATCCTTATACTGAAACTACCTTCTAACTTGAAATAAGACATGATCACAGTTCATAGCACTCTTATCACTATGAATTGGTTGCAGCTCGTCCTTATCACTACCTCCCAAGCTCAATTCAAACAGAATAGACACAGTTATGTAAGATAACCATATCCTTACTGATCATAATTCCTTTCTTCACTCCATTTTTGTCGGAGAAAAGAGTTATCCCCCTCTCATGCCTTTCCCTTTCCCCCTCTCTTCTCCCTCTTCTTCACAAACTGATCCCTAAACCAGCAACAACAACACAAAATAGCCTTCGCCTCTGCCATCTCCATCTACTGAACGCGTTGGTGGCAAGACAGGACTGCAGAAGTAAAATTTTCTAAAATCAAACTAAATTTTTTGAAGGAGACTCAACCACGAAAAAAGAGTAAAGCAACAATGCTAATAGTTCAGATGGTTGGTTTTGATGTTATACGTTGCTTTTGTTATGGTCTCCAGTGTATCAACTGCAACAGAGATGTTTCCTCCAATCATCTTTAGTGCACGATTTAGAAGTAAGTCCTCTTGTTTGTGTCAAACGGAAACATTCATGGGTTTCTTAACTCCCCTGTTAGTGTAAATGCATCAGCAGCAAAGAAGTTTGACAACACAGCAAGCACCCAGGCAAAATGATACAATGCAGTAGGTGATATGTGTCTCGAAGGTTTTGAGTTACTAAAGTTCATGTTAAAAATAAACATGAATTAAAATGGATTATTCTATTAAGCAAACATCCCCTCTAATCATACAAAGATCAGATATCTAATTCACAAACAATTAAGCCATAAAAAATCATCACACATCCACCACCTTTGATTGCCTATATTTGGTTTTTCGCAAAGTTGTGAACTCTTGAGGGTAAAGTTCATGGGTAGTCTGTTTCATAACTCTAGAGAGCACAGTAAGCAGCCACCAACCAGACACAGTGCGGTAGGCGAATATGATTCTCAATTCACAATTTCTCACCACCGGAAGTAAGAACAGAACATAATAAGCGTAGCGTTCATGGGTGGTCTGTTTCATAGCACTACTACACAATTTGTTAAAAAAGAAGGAAAGGTATTTAGCATCACGGCGGAACAACTTTTACAGGCCAACAACGACAACATGCTGCAACCACCAGAACTGGTATCACAACTCATAGGGAAAGTCAAAAGATTTACTCTTAAATTAAGTAGTTACAACATCGAGCAATCGTCAAGCACATACACCATCACAAAAGTCACATAACCTGATTCACAAAGCATTCAAACATTTGAGGACATTTCTGCAAAGATACAACTTATATGTCTTTTTTCCAAGCCATTTCCATCAACATGCTAATAAATTTGCAATGTATAAAACAAATGGGCCAAAACTTGAAATTCAACCTGTTTGACCGACCCATGCCAAATTCTAATTATTCTTTACTTTTAACTTTCTATTTGAAAATAAAAAAATAGTGAAAGAAAAAAGACGACTACAAATTCGCCATTTGCACATCACTTATTCGGGAATAAAACCATATAAATTCAAAAGGAACTGAAAATGTTGAGGATCGTTTTAATGTTTAAAATAACCAAATAGATTTTTATGTTTAGTTTTTTACTAACAAATACCAAACGATTCCCTATAAAATACACTATAATTTGATCATTATGATGTCAAATAATTATAAAATATATATTTGAAATGATAAAAATTGGACTTATTGGGTTGGTCGAGGTTGAACCATTGAATAACTTTAAAATACATTATATTTTAGCCACTAAGATATAAAATAATAGCATAATATGTATTATGCCAGAGAAAATAGCTTGTTTTAGAATGGCAAACCCATGATGTTCATTTGTTTTACTTGATGACCAAATCCCATGTAGATCAGGCCCATTCAACTCTTTTATTTTATGGTTAGCGGTTAGCCCATTAGATACCATGCATTAGTCTATTGTTAAATTTTTTATTTTTAACAATAAAAAGGAGTATTAATTTTGCCTTTTCATATATATTTTATCACCACATATAAATAAAAGGGTATAAAAAAAAATTGACACTCCTGGACTCGTTTAAATCCGCATGTGTACGGTAAGTTGGCCCGTTCCATAGAGGAAAGAGAAAAAAATTGATACTCTCTATTTTACCCTTCCTACAAACGCTCATGGAACAGGGAATTTGAAATGGGGGAAGAGTTTTTTCCACCCTGTTATTATATGTTTTTAATTTAAAAGGATACAACAAATGTACTTAGTGTGATTGGTTATGATCCTTGCCTTTCTTTATAATGGTCATGGTTCAAATCCCAGTACATACCTTTTTAATGAATAAAAAAAAGTAATTGTGAAGACCAAAATGTCCTTCCTACTTTCACTCTCGTTGCAGGAAATTTGAAATGGGGCTCCCGTTTTTGCCTTCGGTGTATTATATTATGTGTAGATTAGGAAGAAGTTACAGTAAACCCCAATGCACTTATGACTTGGTAAATCCACTTTCTCATATTCAGCAGCAGGTTCCTGATTGTTGGACAAACAATTTTGTATTAATTATAATAAAAGAAAAGAGAACAGGAAGGGACACACAAACAAAGACAACGAAAGAATAATAGCAGTTGGTCAATGGCTCTCTTCTTCACCTTCATAACTGAGGTTATTTGTTTCATCTCATCAGCATTCTCTATATGCTTGGGAGATTTTACCTGGTTTTGTCCTTGTTGAGCTCAATTTTTGGTTCTTTAATAATCACGAGCTCATCTTCCTCTACAATTATTACCTTCTCTATGGCATTCTCATATCATAGATACTTGTTTATTCAGAGTCACTACCACAATCCACAATTATGCTGCTCTTGAGCGGCCATAACCAAATCATCAACTGGACAACCAACTTGAACTGCCATTTACCACAATTATGCATTTGATTGGCGTAATCTTTTGGTCCCTTCGATAAACACTCTCTAGCTCACAGATCAAGGGAAGTCAGCAGGAGGTGACAGGCAAGTGCCTGAACGATAGAACCCGGTTGGAAGGGTTCTATCTAGGGATTCGGAAAGGGAAAAGAACAACTAGGGATTGATCTTGGTAGGATCGGAAGTAGAAGGAAGGGAGGATTTTGGGGTTGGGAACGAAGGGGGTGGCCGCGTGGCGGCTAGAGAGAGAGGAAGAGAGGATTCGGCAGAGAGGAAGGGAAGGGAGAGGGAGAGAGAGGCAATTAGGATTTAGGTTTATTCTTGCTTAATCCCTAATCCCACTTACAAGAAGTTTATATAAATGAACAATTACCAACTACTACCCGACTTATCACTATCTTCCCTAAACAGCCCAAATAATCCGAAATAACAAATAACCGACAATTAATCAAAGTACTAAAAATGCAAGTTTCTATCATCCCTGCTTCCTTCGAAAATCAACCTTGTCCCCAAGGTTGCTTCTCGAGCTCACTGGGTCTCCTCCTCCCCATCCACAGCGTCCTCGGCCGCGTCTTTCGCTTCATCTTCCCAGCGTCCGACCAACATCATCAAGTCCGGCTTCGGGCATTGATGACCAATGGTGAACCGGCCATCGCAATTGAAGCACTTGCCCATCCCGCCTCTTTTGCTCGATCTCGGCCGGCGATAGTCGCACAAACCCTTTTGGTATGGCCCGCGGTCCCATCCTAGCCACCGGCGTCGTGCCCCCGCTCCGGGCGTTAGCTCCCGCTGCATTTCCCGCCGGCATTCCTCCACTGCTACCACTGGCCCCACTGCTTCCTCCACCTCCACTCGACTTCGGGTAACGGCCTATGGAGTTCCTCCAGCTGGCAAGTTCCTCCTCTTTATGACCTGCAAGACGAAAAGCAGTCTTCAAGGAATCCGGCTTCAATACTCTGACCACTGCCGCTATCTCGGGCTTGAGGCCCGCCATGCACAGCCCCACCAACGTGTCTTTCGGAACTCCCTTGCACTGGTTCCCCAGCTTGAAGAACTCAGTGCGTTAATCGGCCACAGTGCCGGTCTGCTTCAGCTTGGCCAACTGCTCGGGGGCCCACCCTTCTGACTTCCCGAACTGGTAACGGAGCTCCTCCTGAAACATGGGCCAGGTAATCAAAGTCTCGGCCGCTGCATATGATCTCTCCATCCACTCCCACCACTGGAGCGCATCACCCTCCAAATAAAACGACGTCAAATAGGCCTTCCTCTCCTCCGGAATCGGATGGTTTCTAAACCACCTCTCAGCTGCATACAACCAAAGACATTCATCCTCTTGC